CACCACTAACTTTTGAAATGTAGCGATTAATGGAGATTCAAAATGTTGCTGGTTGGACAGCCCTCACATAAATATAAAATGCTGAATTATGAATAAATAATGAAACATCTTTTCAGACTGGTGGTCTCCTGCCGTTCATCATCATCAGGACAAACTAACGTTACTCTGTAGTTCATCTTTATTAGGAGGAGAATATGTGACCTTTAAACACAACCTTCAGTTTCTGTTTGAAGCCTTAAATGTAGATTCAGGATATTTAGAGCGAGGAGTCTCAGGAAACGTGGGATTAAAACTCTGAAACATTCTGAATAAACTTCCTCCTGTCTCATCAGATCAGCTTTAGAGTTGAAACTATGAAAAGATCTCACCGTTGATGTGAACGTAGGTCTCTGCCTCAGTGTGGTGTTTGATCTGGTCCTGTGTGACCACACAGCTGTAGTGGTCGGTCTTGGTCACAGTGGTTTGGAGGATGATGTCGTAGCTGCCTCCTCTTTCTGTGACCTGTGCTTCTTTAGCATGAAGGATGTTTCCAGAACTGTCCCTCCACTCCACTTTAGGTCGAGGAGAAGCTCCATAAACTACACTGCAGCAGGACCTGTCCTTTGATTGTCGAGGTGGTGACGCGGCTCTGAAGCAGCGCCTGTGGAGACAATAGAAACAAAAGATTTCATCAGAAAGCTGCAGAATAGATGTTTCAGATTAAAGCATGTGGAGGTAGATAAGTAAAGTATCACAAAGAAGAAGACAAGCAATATATTTAAAAGACATTGTGAATATTAACATGACATGAAATAAACATTTAGTATTGTGGAGTAAAGACTTCATAATAAGAGAGTGAATTTAAACTCCCTCTGGGTTTGTTGTTCTCAGCTCTGAGTTCACAAATACGGACTGCCATGTTTCCTTCAGCAGTATTTATGTCTCTTTTGGAGGGAACCCCTCCCTGTCCAACCGTACGCCCTGCCACCACCTGGAGGAGGAAGGACGGCCCTGAAGTCAGAACTCCAACTCTGGAAACTCGGAGCGACCTCAGTAGCCCGAGCTAAAATCCAACATGGCTGCTGCGTGCATCTACAGTAACGTTTAAGCTGAAACTGATGTAATGAAATCAATCACACCGATGGTATCGTGGAAGTTCTCTCTGTGGACATGTGGTCATGTGACGTTCAGACACAAACTATCACGTAGTGTGTTGTTATCAAACTAAAGAACTGCTGGAGGCGTCCATGTTGCTGGTCAAACTGGTTTTCAAACTGGTCATGGGAACGCGCTCAACTCGGGTGTGACGTCAATCCTAGCTCGGACATTCGACTTGAGAGGTAAATGGAACGCACCAGAAGTCGTACTACCATGTTGAAGAGGAGTCACAGCCCCCCCCCCCCTCCAAGGAGCCGTGTCTGGGTGGATTAAAACGAGGGCGTCGTTGCAAAAGAACGACGGCAGGAGAACCAATGACGTGCGGCTCTGAAGCTGCTCCTGTGGACACGGAGGAAACAAAGGTTCATGGAAAGAAGATTTCACATCCCTTCATGTATCTCCACTTCTCTTCTTTTATATTCCTCTACTGTACACGCCTTAGTTTATCTCAGCCTGTCACATGCTAAGTCCCGCCTCCTGGGAATGGCTGTAGGCCAAAACAGCTGTCAATCACTCCCTCCCAGCAGACGTGGGTTGTGTCTCCGTTGATCAGAAGCCGTTCAGGACGACGAGTGAGCCGTCTCTAAGTTGAGGTTAAAGGTCATGTAGCCCTTCATGATTGGACAGTGAGAATGTGTGAGCGTCCATGGAGATGTAAGCGCTCTTTTCATCTCATACGGCTCTAAAGTGGAACATATGTGATGTGATTCTTGTTGGTTTTTCTGCTGCTATTGATATAAAAACATCTGAATACTACTAATATCATTTACTCTTATTTCTAATGTTAGTTATATGTCTACATCGGGGGCGGCTGTGGGTCAGTGGGCGAGTCGGTCGTCTCTCAACTGGAAGGTCGGGGGTTCGATCCCCAGCTCCTGCAGCCACATGTCCCATGTGTCCTCGGGCGAGACGCTTAACCTCAAGTTGCTCCCTCTGCTTCGTCGGCGGCGTGTGAATGTGTCTGAATGGATGAGTTAATCCTCTTTACCCAGCAGCCTCAGTATGACATCATCAGGTGTGACATCACCTGGAGCTCTGACCTCAGTCACAAACATACGATCACATCGACACATTTCAAACAAAGTGGACACAAACTGAACTTTAGAAAGTCGCTGGAGGTAGAGTTGATGTCTTTCCTGTCGTGTTGAATCGTGTTCCATCGTGTTCCTCGTCTCTTCTGTGACGCTGATCTGATACGGCGAGCTGCACGTGGAGGAACACGGACGCTGTGCGCTTTTAAAGAAAGTAGTCCCCGAGGAAAAGGCGGTCTGATGGAGAGGTGTAAATATTGACAAACACAGCGGACACTCAGGTTTCTGTGTTTTTCTTGAAGGTGGGACTTTTAGTGAAGCTGCTCCAGTATGTTTTCATCTCCTGCAGGTAACACGCCGTGTGGTCATAAGAAGGTCAAACGAGCACACGGTCAAACTGTGTACTGTCCCTTTAAGGCCTTTAGTGACCTCCATGGATCAAATGATTAAAGGGACGATCAGTGCATGTGTTTGGAGCTAAAGGAGGCTCCTAGTTATACTCTGTTTTAATGATCATGTCGGCCTCAGTAGATTCAGCTCGGACATGTTTCACATTATTAACACGTCGTCTCTTCTCACTCACTGAAACGTCTCCGATTCCTGTGACGGCACGCCGCTCCTTACAAATGTGTGTGTGTGTTTCTGAATGTGTGTGTGTGTTTCTGAATGTGTGTGTGTGTGTGTTTGTGTGTGAAATCTTTCCTCCATCATAACTAACGACTGACTCGTTTCAGAGCACTGATTCAGTCTGAAGTCACGTCTGAGTGCAGCTCTCAGTCAGGAGCTCTTTGGTGAGCAGGTAACATCTGCAGCAGCGTCCAATCAGAGAGCAGCAACACGGTAACCATGGAGATGAATCCAGCAGGACCAGCTGCAGTAAAAACTGTCAAGTAAATAAGTTTGAGTTGAAGGTGTGAAACATTAAAGTGAGCTCCTGATCCTGTGTGAAGGAGCAGCAGGTGTTGTTTAGTTTTGCTCTTTTAGATTCATGTCTGCAGGAATGTTTTAGTTTGAAGATAAAAAGAGTTCATGATGTTCACACAGAGACCAGATATGATGACCTACACACAGAAACACATCATGAAGAGTTAGAATTAACACCTGAATGTATTTTTAGTCATAAACTATTCAGTAAATAATCTTCCTCACTTCATTTCGATTCTTTTTGAATTATTTCTGACCTCCTCTTCGCTCTGGTCATTTCTTTTGTTTTCTGAACTAAATAGTTTCTTCAGTTTGTTCCATCAGCTGCTCAGTTAAACCTGGTGGTTAGTGTGAGGTGATCATTTCAACAACAAGCTCAAACGTCTTTAAGAACTCGTCTTTGTGTTGTGAACACTTTTAATGTAGAGATGCAGAATTCAACTTTTTTTAATGGTACGGTAGTTCAGGGTGAACTGTGGGTAAGATGGAGTGTAGGAGCCATAATGTGTGTTTTTACCTCAGTTGATTATTTGTTATGTTTTGCTCCTTATATGGGTTTCTTATTATTTCTGGTAATTAGCAGTGGGCGTGGTTTACTTTATTTTTACCTGTGCATTTGGGGTGGCGGGAGGCTAGACAAAGGGGGTGAGTGAGTCATCGTCATCATCACCTAAATCATCATTTTTGGACCTTTTCTTTACAAATACTGTTTTCCCTTTTTGTTTTAATAAATCTACAAAGATATCTGGACTTTTGGACTTCTTTATATTTTCACACACTTAGTTTCTGTGCTGCATTTTTCTATCTTCAGCCGCCACAGAGAGTTTGTGTTTTTAAAAGATTTTAATTTAGTGATGCAGAAATTAATTGAAATGTTTTTTTACTCATGAGGGAAAAGTTTGGCAAACATCTAAAGCTACACAGGAGGGAGCAGACGTGTTGGTTAGAGGTGCAACAAGAGGTAGAAAAGAAGAAGAACCAGCAGGAGGCGTTTTGGATCCATAACTTTCAGACTACTGAACACCCGGTCTAAACGAGGACGTTCATTTTTCTGTCTTTTTGTCAAAGATTGTTGAGTTTTAATGTAAAGTCCAGTGAACACTGAACGACTAAAAGAATTCATGAGCTCATACTGTACAGTGTTCAGCATCACAAGTGTCAATAAGAAAAAGTCCCACAGACGGAGGTTGAAGTCTGATCGATGTGTATTTCAGTCGGCTCTAATACACACCAGGAAAAACGTTCTCTCTCTCTCTCACAGCATCCCAAATAAACACAAAGTGACTGACAGCTCAATCAGAACTGATTCTCCCCGTCAGCTGGAGCTCTGCAGATGTTTCCTGCTGATGGTTCTTTCATGATCGGAGTGTGGAGACAGATTAAACAGTCATGCCTGCTGTTGCCATGGTGATTTTAGACGCTGTCTGTCAGTTTGTGAACAATCAGGAAAGAAGTCCCTGAAGTGGGAGAATCAGCTGGTGGCTCTGCGCTCACCGTGCAAAGTGTGTGCAGTCGTACGACCAAAACAATCACACATGAACAAATGATCCGAGCAGCAGGGAGCAGCTGATCGGGCCGTGACCATCACGCCTCAGTGTACACTGCTCCACTAACGGCGTGCTATCGGGCTGAAATGCGGCCTGACTTCAAATCAGTCGTACGACTCAAAAGTCAGGTCTAAGTCGTCCTGAAATCGTCCGGTGCACGGCCGGCTTACTGTAAGAGTTGGGTTTGAATCTCCTGTAAACGTTGTTTTGATTTGTTTTTGTTGTGTTTCCTGTTTGTGGTCAATATTTACATTTTCATCATATTATGTATAAATGTAAACATCTGCTCCACCTAGTACAACTTTATCTCTGTTTGACTTCCTGATGAAGGACTGATGAGTTCTTGTTTTTTTAAGGTCTACATGATGCCAAGTAAATAAAGACATTTTCATTGTTTAAAAAGCGAGAGCCTCGGCTGCACAAAACTTCTCACTGTTCATTTTTCCTGTTTTCAAAATGTCTTGTAATAAATGTTCACAGAGCAAACGTAACTCTGAGGATCTGAATGGATAGAACGTAAAGTGTTTGTAATATTTGGGGATAAACATAACTGTTAATATGAAATGATAACTGACGAGCCTGCTCCTGAAATGTGTGAACTCAACATGAAGCTGTTTTCTAATCCTGAACATTTCACTGTTATCACAAACACGTCCACACTGACATCACTGAGCTACAACAAGAGAAACACTGACTCTGTACGTCTGGAACTGATCTCAAAGTCAACCTTCACACTCTTCTTCTTCTCTCTGTCCAGTCATCAAGTTAGTCCGTTCAGAGAGTCACTGAAAGTCTGAATTTCTTAAACTCACTTTGAATAAAGTTTCACTTGTGAAGTATCCAAACACGTTTCACATTCAGTCAGAACTCATTTACATTTAAAACAAAGAATGAACGCACAGAAAAACAGAAAGTAGAACAAGAAACATCTCACCGTTGATGTGAACGTAGGTCTCTGCCTCAGTGTGGTGTTTGATCTGGTCCTGTGTGACCACACAGCTGTAGTGGTCGGTCTTGGTCACAGTGGTTTGGAGGATGATGTCGTAGCTGCCTCCTCTTTCTGTGACCTGTGCTTCTTTAGCATGAAGGATGTTTCCAGAACTGTCCCTCCACTCCACTTTAGGTCGAGGAGAAGCTCCTCTGACTAAACACTGCAGCAGAGACCAGTCCTTTGATTCATCGAGTATGGTGACATACGGCTCTGGAGCAGCACCTGTGAACACAGAGTAATTGAACAATAGATGACCTATCAGCAATGAAGGACAAATACATAATTACAGATGTAACACTGGTAAGCTGTCTTGTGCATCTCTCCTCTTCTTGTTTATAACAAATCCTGAGTACACGAGGATGAAAACATTAAAAACAAAGAACACGATTTAAAGAAAATAACTGGCTCTGGTTGAACATCCAAGATTTGTTTGTTGGATGTCAAACACTTTTCACTTGTACCAAAAGTTTGGAAATCATCTTTACTATCTCTAACTAGAACCAGGACAGAAGCACAGATACTCTGCAGCCATGTGGGAAACACCTGGATCAGTGTGAGAGCTCTGTCACATCCATGTTCAAAGTTACTTTCAATATTTGGCCTTTGGCTTTTGTCATGACAGACACTGAGGGGACAGGAATTTAAAATATGCTTGCACACAGCTTTCAAGCCTGATGTGAAGAAGTTGGAGTCAGAGGGGAAATGTAATGTCTCCCATTAACATCATGTGAGTATCTCAGCCTTGTGATTTTATTTGTATGTTCATGGTTTATTCCCCAGAGATCCTTTATATTCTGGGGGCCACATGAGAAGCTTTGGGGGACCGTATGTGGCCCGCGGGGCGCCAGTTGATAATCACTTTTATGGAGCATTATACTTTGTAATGAAAGAATGGACCTAGGTAAGCCTGCTTGAGATTTAAAGAAGGAATAGGTGTAAAAAAACAGATTTAGTCAGGAAAGCAGCAAATGGACCTTTTGGTAGAAAACAGCTGATCATAAACAGCAGATTTATTTGAGTATATTTCATGTTTGTAAGTTCAAGGACAGAGATTTAAAGTGAACTGGTTTCCATGGAGACCAGTCACCTGTATGACTGGCAGGTAGGATGTATTAACACATGCAGGAGTGATTTAAGAAGTGGAAGTCCAAAGTAGAGGAAATGAGTATTTGTAGTCCCTGTAGTTGTTAAGATGGTATATCAGAGTTTATATTTCAGAATCATTCTATCAAATCTAAATAAAGCTAAAGCTTTGAAACATCATCACTCTACAGTTATTCTTTAAACAACATTACAAACACAATGAGTACACTGCTCTCTGGTTCTCAGCTTCTTCAACACACTTAGACCTGTCAGCAGGATCTGGACTCACCTTGGATTTTTTCAGGTGTTCTGTCCTTTAAGATAGCACCTGGAAGGTAAAAGACATGAGATGTTAGAGGGACAGATGATCAACTTCACCCTGGAGGAAGAATGTAAATGTGCTGCCTTTATAATGTGTGTAGAGCTGAACTGTGGCTGTGCAGAGTGACATTATGGATCACGTGTTTCATGTCTGATACAAACTGTGTCTCTCCAGATGTGGCTGCAGCTCTGTGGGGATGAACACCTGCCAGATGTTTATTTGAAATCCACCTGGGACTCTTCAAACACGTCTGACTGAACCAGAAAACTCACCAACAACCAGCTCAATGTGGAACATTTGACTCGGCTGCAGACGAGGAAAAAAACAGGTGTAGTTTCCACTGTCGGCCACCTTGGTCTTCCTGATCTTTATGGAGGCGTTACCGTTCTTCAGCTCGTCGTTAAAATGTGAGACTCGACCTTCAAACTGTTTGTCTTGACCTGAAAGGCCGTGAGCGTAATAATCTCCTCCGTCGTACATGAACACCTCCTTGTGATCGTCTTTCTTCCAGTCAAACAGCTTCGTCTCGATGTTCTCCTTGGTGCTGAGGGAACACGGTAACACAGCATCACTGTCTTCTTTCACCACCACTCCACCTGAGACAGAAACACGAGGATGAATCAGTTTGTTTACATGCAGAAAAATAAAGTTAGTTTGTGTGATAATCTAATGTCAGTTTCTGATCATAATAATCTCACTGTTTATCTTTGTGTAGCTAAATGTCATCATGAAATCATTTCCACTGAACTCGGGCGTCTTCACAGTCGTTTACATTTTACTATGTGACACATATTCATCATATTTAACCATCTATCTCATTTATAAACCCTCATGTTGATGTTTCTGTCTCCTCATCCTTTTCTTTACACATTCATCTGATATCAAAGATAAAAAACAAACATGTCACACTTCTGAACAGAGACTAGTGAATGTTTACATCAGTATTCATACGTTTCTTTAGTCAAAGTGTCTCTGAATCAGCCGATTAAACTCTTTGAATCTGAGATTTCTGAGGAGAAGGAGGTGAAACTTCTTTCTCTGCTTCTTCTTTTAGTTTGATTTATTCTGACTCTTATTTCATAATTCATTAAAAACTTCATTAAACTCTGATACTCCCTCACACAGTGGACTCACATCCATGTTGTATTATCTGTAATTGATCATGGTCCATAATATGTGAGTGATGCTGCAGTTTTCTCTCTGCAGGATGGAGGAGACGCCCTCCAACATCTACTCCCAGAGAGACGAGCATCACACTGCGCATGTCTGTTAAACGGCTGTAATGTGATGACGTCACCTGAGCTGTGGAGGTTGATGTTTTAATATTTCTGTATTAATGTCCTTTAGTTTCAAACGGAGCTAAATATCGATGCTAACAGTCTCCGGTGCTAACGTTATCTCCCCTCCGCTGATAAACTTCCTACTTTTCTGTCTCCAGACTTCATGTTTCAACATTTTTTACATTTATTTTTCATCCATTTCAATCTCAAACAGTTCAGAGTAAATATGAGCCGTTACTTTTCTCACCGTTTTCATCAGCAAACGTTATTCCAGACCGAGTCACGACGCAGAGACACACGAGAGGAAGAAGCTTCATAGTTGTTGATCTGAACATTCAACGTGACGTCACTGACGGGCACTTCAGAGGACGCTGCTGTGACGTCACTAACACGATGATCTCCTAGCAACACTTTCGATGATCGTCCTTCAAAATAAAAGTATTATGTCGAAAACACAAACAATAAAAGTCTGAATGAATAAATAAAACCTTCTCACAATACTGTAGCACAATCCCCAACAAATAAGTTTGAACATTTATCAGCTCAATGAACCAAAAGTGATTTTTTTAAGTTTAACTATTTAGAGAGCAGCTAAACGGTCACTGTGTTTCTCTTTTATTTCTGTCTCATATTTTTGTATTAAAGTTACAGCTGAATTATTTTACATTTTAACTGCAGTAGATGTTTTGTTAAATAATTTAAAAAATGTTTAATAATTCTGATGGTTAACTTCAAACAGGAATTCATCATATTCTTTAAAATTAAATGTAACACTGTGCCGTTTTATATCTTATTTTATTTTTATTTTACAGGGACATTGCATATTAATAAACATTTCTGTAAATGTGCCAGAGTTAGCCAAAAGGCTAATTTTCATCTGTTGTCCCTGGACAGATTTTATAAAAGGCTCCCTAAAAAAAAAAAAAAAATTCAAACATTGCTAAAAGCTACAAAAACAAGTATTAGTAAAAGCACGTATCCAATAACCTACTAAAGTAACTGTAACGTGCACACAACAAAACAACATGTAACACAATATACAATAAACACGTAGAAATTACAAATTACACAAGGCCACATAAAAAACATTGAGTGAGCTATACCTGAAGCTCACCTCAACAGACAACAACACGCAGGACACATTCATTTAAAAAACAGGACACATTCATCAACAACCAGACACAAGGGGCAGCAGCGAGCGGAACAGGTTTAGTGCTGCAGATGTGGTTATCAAATAGCCAGTGTTTCAGATGTGAACTAAATGAACGATATGTGTTGCTCTCTCTGATAACTGTTGGGATGTTGTTCCATTCACGTGAGGCTGGAACAGAAAAGGCCGACTGACTAAAAACACACTTCCTTAGAGGAATAATGCAGTCGCCTCTTGAGACACCCCTCCTGAAGTGATGTGTGTTTGTTTATATGCTTACAAACTCTCTGAGTGGGGGAGGGGCCAAACCATGTGAGATTTTATAAAGGAGCATTTTTGTGTTTAATCATGTTCTCCCAGCTCAGGAGGTTGTATTTTCTGAGGATTGAACAGTGGTGGAATTGCTTTGGTTTTTTGTCTAAAACTTTTATTGTCTGTTTATACAAAGACTGTTGTGGTTTTAATGTGGTGGGACTTGCCTGAGACCAGCTTGTCATACAGTAGGTCATATATGAGAAAATCATTGAATGCATGTACATGTTGGCTGCTTCAGTAGACATGGAGTTTCTGATAAATCTGAAGTTGGCAAGGTTAAATTTAATTTGTTTACAGACTTTTTTTTACATGTGCTTTAAAGTTCAGGTTGGAGTCAAGTATAATGCCAAGGTATTTGAATTCTTTTACAATCTGTAGTTTTTCTTCTGACACAAGTATATCTGGATCGGATATCTGGTTTGAGTCATTTGTTTTAGTGAAGAACATACCAACAGTTTCAGACACGTTAAGTTGGAGACAGCACTGATTAAGCCATGCTGTAATTTTGACCATTGCGGTTGTTAGTTTTGAAGCAACTTCTGCTTTTGTTAAACCATGCACATACAAAACTGTATCGTCAGCATACATTTGAATGTTAACCTCAGGACACACAGATGGCAGGTCATTTACATACAGGAAGAATAAAAGTGGGCCCAGTATAGATCCCTGCGGAACGCCCGTGGACAAGCAGAGGGTGTCAGATTGATAATTAAGTATTCGCACACTTTGAGAGCGGTTGGAGAGATATGATTCTACCCATTTCAGAGCATCAGCAGAGAAATTAAAGGTGGATAACTTAGATAGAAGAACCCTGTGATTTACAGTGTCAAATGCTTTTCTGAGATCCAGAAAGACAGCACCAACAATGCCACGGTTATCTAGCAGTGATTTGATTTTTTCAATGAGGAAGCAGTTAGCTGTCTCTGTTGAGTGGTTGGATCTGAATCCAAACTGCATTGGATGCAGGTGATAAGAGCTGTTGTTCAGGTGATGTATAATTTTCTCAGCCGCCCATTTCTCTGCAACTTTAGACATACTAGGAAGAATGCTGATGGGCCTATAATTGCAGGGTGAATGGGGATCACCAGATTTGTACATTGGTGAAATAACGGCAGATTTCCACACCCTTGGGAATTCACCCTGTGATATTGAGAGATTAATGATTTTGGTGATGGGTTTGGCTAATGCTGCACCAAGATCCTTAACCATTGTTGTGTCCATCCCAAAATCATCTTTTGCTTTTGATGGCTTGAGGGATCTAATAATTTCTGTGATCTTTGATTCACTAACATTTATAAAATGGAAAGCTGGCTCTGTTTTGTTTGCCAAGCACAGATTAACCTGCTTAGCAGAGAAGCTCTGTGCAATAGTTGCTACAGAATCGACAAAGTATCGATTAAGAGCTCCAGCTACTTCAGCTGGGTCCTTCGTCAGGTTTCCATTCAGGCTAAGTTCAATTTGTTTTCCTGCTTTGGTTTGTTGACCCAGGAGCTTTTTTAACTGACTCCATATTAATTTAGAGTTTCCCCTCGCCTCATTAATTATTGTCATAAAAGAATCAGCCCTAGCCTTCCTCAACCCTGCTATCACCTTATTTCTTAACATGGCAAAATGAATTTGTCGTGGAACAATCTGGTCTTAATGGCCATTTTCAGTGCCAGATCTCGCTCTTTCATCAGTTTTAAAATATCTGCATTTATCCAGGGAAGACTGTTCTTTTTATTCCTATACTTAAACTTACGGGAGAATTCTGTGATGACACTATGCACTTTACTTGAGAATATTTGACTGCCCTCCTGCAAGTTTTTTCCAAGAGCAAATCATTCCAATTGACGCTATTTATAGTGTTTTTAAAACATTCCTGCTTGTTCTTAGGAATTCTAAGAGATTCATTCTCTTTGGCAATTGAGGGCTAAATCTCTTTTTGTTAATTTTCTGATCACCAGAATAAGATTGTGGTCAGATATCCCAGTGATCATATTGAGAGATTTAGTCATTCTCTCAGGTCTGTTACTAAATACCAAGTCAATCTGAGTTCTGGTGGATTGGGTTATTCTTCTTGGACCCTTGATCAGCTGTGAGAGATCTAAACCATCAGTTATTTGTTTGAGGTTCTTTCTAGTAGCCTTATCTTCCCAATTAACATTAAATCGCCCATTATTATCACCTCTTTTTTAAATTGCACTCTACAAGCATGTTTTGGAACTTTTCATAAAATGCATTATTTGCAGAGGGTGGGCGGTAAATTACAATCAGGACAAAAGACATTTGTGGTGACAAAGTGATATTCAAGCCAATACATTCAGCTCACAATTTGACCAAGTTAATTCATTACATTGAATACTATCCTTCACATAAACCATGACCCCGCCTCCCTTTGATGTCACTCTATCTCTTCTGAAGATTTGATAGCCAGGTACCTCTAATGCTGCAGATGGCGAGTTTTCATGCAGCCAAGTCTCTAGAAAACATCCCGTTTGTCGAGCTCCTATGTTGAAACTATCTTAAACTTATATATTTAAATAATTGAATCAACACATAAAGCAACACTTAACCCTTAATCCCACCTGGAAGTTTATAACAGTCTTTTTAGAGTTAATTTACTGTAGTGAAGATCACTATTTATCTCACTTCCCTTCTTCACCTACCTCAGTTCACTTCCTGGTTTCTCCTTCCCCT